AAAAAAAAAAAAGCACCCACCCACGCGTGACGTGATAGACTTTCCAAGCAGCAGCTTGTTTCACGAACTTTGAATGGCATAAAAATGATGGATGGATATATGCCGCCCTTATTCTTAGTCTCATTAAATCATTAGCCACCAGCACATCTTAGAATGTGTTGTTATACTTGTTCTGTCTTGTTTTTTTTTTTTTTTGTTTTTTTTTTATTTTGCAGGCAGATATTTGCACCAACCAGTTTTTAAAATACTAAAATGAAGAAGACAAACTTATTTTGGACAGAGCACAATAATAATTATAGTCATAACAGAAAGTAGCCCTGTGGATTATTATTATTTTTTTTCCATAAACACAATAACGTGTCTCATAACCCTACATAATCTTTAAACCCTATTAGTTTGATAACTTGTTGTAACAGCATTCATTGGCCTCATTTTGCATTAAAACAACCCAGTCTCCACAAATATGGCAATTAAGTTAATAGCGGTTTCATTTACGCAACTCCTCTCTGCAAAGCACAAAGTACATGTTTTTGAAAATACATCTGTCAAAACAAATACATCACGTACGGATTTTTGTTTAATATTCTAACAGATTTCACCTCAAATAACTGTTTTTAGGTAACACAGTCCAGCATGATTTTTTGTTTTACCTCACTGTTTAATAAAAAAAAAGGGGTCAACAGGATATTTCAGGAGTGTCACTTTGGCAGCTCTAGACCTCACTGCAATGTCCAGTGATAAGTTGTGTACATATATTTTTTTAGCAGACTTTAAGTGCACTTGTGTAAGTTAAGTCATATGGCTGTGATGACTGGAAACTTTATTGCATGCAACAACAAAAAACTATCCTTTCAAGTTTTTGAAACTGAAAAAGCAGCCATCCTATTTCCCTGGAGCTTATTAGAACTGGTGGAGAGGAAAAAAAGCTAAACTTTTTATTATTATTATTATTATTATTATTATTATTATTTTTATTTTTTTTTTTTACATATTTTGCACTCTAGAAGCACATTTTCCAAAGTTTTAATGTCTCATTGTATTGATATTTGAGTCATGTTCATATTTGAATTCATTCTTTTTGACTTTTTTTTTTTGCTTCATGCACTGCCGAAATTGGACATCTGTGACCTTTTCAACTCTTCAAGGCTGTTTCCCCACTTATGATAGACTTTTGGAGAACACTTCAGACAGTCTGCTCATGTCTATGGCATAGTGGGCTGACACAGTGTCAGTGCAGGGGACTCCTCTGTAGAAACTTTGTGTCTTTGGGGGGAAAAGTGTTCAAATTGGCTTCAGGCTATGACATCGTGCCATGCTTCCTTAAAGTGCTCTGGGAGCGACATATATTCATGGAATGTGATTTGATATGACAATCTGCTGCACAGACTCTATTTCAGAATTGATGCAGAACATTTGCTACCATTTTGCAGATTGTTCGTTGACTTCGTAATGAGGAGCATCTGAGAAACCTTCATAGCGAACTCAACTTCAAGATTTGGCAAAAGCTACAGTTTTGCCTTTTGCCAACATGAAAATAGTTTTTGGTAAGAAAAAAGAGGAGATATCTAAAAAAGTTTTGCATGTTACCTTATTTCCGTCCTCTATTGTAGTCATTTCTCGACTTGGCAAGCAAATATTTCTCACCTGCACAAGAGGTCCAGACCATCCATTCATTTTCTTTACACCCTTGTCCCTCAGTGGGGTTGGGAGGGTTGCTGGTGC